CCGTCGCACTGAACGTTGTAGTTCCCACACACACGAGCCCAGGCGGAGGGCGTGTGTGCGTGTGTGCGCGCCTCTTCGCTCCTTCACTGTTGCCAGCACGGGGATCCACCTCTGAATTTAGGCCTTATATCCTCCCACGCTTAACTTAAATAACTATAGATACTGTAATTTTGTATGACCATTTTCATCTGTAACGAGTGAAATTGTGCTTCATTATCAATCATTCGTTTTGGCGATTTAGTTTTGAACATTTTGGTGATGGGTTCGTTGCTTGGAACACCTGAGTCTCTTCGAGGAACCCGTCTTGGTTCAATGTTCTTTTTTGTGTGCAACTGCTTTGCGAAATTACTGGCTGTGCTTGCGGTGAAATTTCTATTTGTAGGCCATGATGCACAGGCAAAAATATTATGCATTTTCATATTACCAATCAGATACAATATGGTAAGCAGAAATTTATGAAAGGACAGTTTTGACAGTTTTCTGAAGCTGAGAGAAACTAGCCTTCAAAATTCCGTGTGATCAATCTGCCAGGCTTAAAATTAACTCAGATATTCACAAAATATGAAAATACTTTCCCTTCATTTAGGTAATTCGGTTCGAAGTGGTAAACATTCACCAACAACATAGGTAATCCTTCAACAACAACATTATTTATATTCATGGTCCCTTGTCCGTTTCCCTCACTAAGCAGAAGAGAAATCATGCTGTCATTTCTTTTTTTAGACAAGTATTTGCTTTCCTCACGACCAGCTGGTGTCCCTGACACTGGCTGGGCGATTATAATTAATTCATAATTGACAGTTTGATGGTGATTACGATTTGGAATATATTGATGTTATTCGGAAATGTAACCAGCAGATTATCGGCACATGCATCTTCGCCTTGCCAGGAAAAAAAATCAGTTTACATACTATTAACTGATATATACTTAGTGCTAGTGATAAAGTGATGAGGAAATAATAACACTTATGGTGGGGATGATGATGATGATAATAATGAGAATTGCAATACTTACAAAATTCACGATACAGTCTGATTCTAATTACTAAGATGTCATGATGATAATATTTAGTATCATTACCTGTATAACTATTACTGTTGTTATTACTTATACTGCGAGTGTTAACATGCAAAGGCTTAAAATAAAAGCCGTGTTAATAGTAAAAATAATGATGGTGATGGTAATAGTTACAATTATGATAATGTTGATAGTAAAACAGATGATAATTATTATAACAATAATGATAATCATGCATATAGAAGTAAACAGATTAATTGATAGATACATTATATGTATTTATGTAATAACGATTCTCGTAGTCAAAATATAAATAAATAGTATATAGTATAATGACTGCAGTGATATCAATAGTCATAATGATCATAATATAGGTAAAAAATAATGATTATTAGTGCTAATTGGAATAGCAGTAGTAGCAGCGATAATAACACCAGAAGTAAACATAACCATGCAATAGTATTGATGAAACCGAAAATTCTGATAGGGATGTATTTTACACACACACAAAAAAAATAATAATTTGCATTTATACCGTGCACTTTAATTAGAATTGGTTTATATCATGTCCTTATACATACGTATGTAATTAAATTGTTGAACGGACAGATGATCGTGTGTGGGTGTGTACATACATGAATATACATGCGTTTCATGAGCGTGTGTGTGAGTGAATGTATGTGTGTTTGTGCGTATGTGTGTGAATCCAGGATGTTCCAAACAGGGGGTGGAGGGGCCAGACTGTGTAACGAGGTGTCTGTGGAAGGAAGGATGGTTTAGGGTTAGTATTCCAGCATTTCAGAGGTATTTTCCAATGCTATGGACCTTCTTCTTCATTGCTATAGACCTGACATCCTTAATGAGCAAGGGCACAGAATACTCACGTTAATGGAAGAAAATGTTCTTGAATCATTCAATGGAGATTAAAGTAAGATGTATTTACACATAAATATATACATGCATATATGTGTATATATATACATATATATACACATATTTACACATTTATATATATATACATATGTTTATATATATGTTTATATATATATATAATTATATACATAAATATGGATATACATATGCATATATACATATATATATATATATATATATATATATATATATACATACATGCACACACACACACACACACACACACACACACACACACACACACACACACACACACACACACACACATATATATATATATATATATATATTATATACATATATATACATATGTATATATATATATGTATATATATTCATATATATTATTCATATACATATATATATATATATATATATATATATATGTATTATATGTACGTATGTATGTATGCATATTTGTGTATGGTTGTGTGTGCGTAAATGCATATAAGTGTCTATACATACATACATATATATATATATATATATATATATATATATATATATATATATATATGTTCATATAAATATGTGTATATAATTACGTATACACACATATTCATATTTACACACAACACACACACACACACACACACACAACACACATACATATATACATATATAATATATATAATATATATATATATATATATATATATATATATATATTATATATATATATATGTATGTATGTATGTATGTATGTATGTATGTACGTATACATATGAGTATCTACCTATACATACATTTATTTATACATATACATTTACACTGACACACAAAGATGCTCAAACTGTGTGGTCGTAGATATATAATGTAGCAATCGTGTTATTTTTAAAGTTTCCCCAACAATATCTATTTCTATTTTCTATAGTGCTTGTGTAGCATTCGGTTTTCTTCGCTAAATCAGGTGAACTAAATTATTTTTGGCTTTATGATCCTGTAGATCTATTATATCGGTGGATTACTAAATAATGATCTGAATTATATTTACAATTTAAGTCGAACATTAAATGAATTGTTCATTTTAAACCTTATTTGATTTAAACACACAATCACACATCAGACACAACACACCCACAAACATAGGTAGTGCGACAAACATGTATCGTGCGACAAAATTATATAGGGAAAAGTATGAGCAGACGGGACCTCTTAAGCTCACTCCTCTTTCCTTCGTTGGAATCTCTGGTAATCGAGGGACTCTCTGATGCCTCTTTCGGGAATATATTTTAGAAGCAAATTTAAAGTAAGTCTGCCGTGATCGATTCGTTTCCCGTTTTCTGTGTTACTCCTCCAGCGCCGGAAAATGCACAAACCGTGTCTGTGATATGCTTGTTATCACAATCACATTGTTATTAGTAAAGTATTAGCATCATATCACAGTTACAAACATATCTGCACAAGCTAAGCTCGTGCACATTCATATATGCATTCATATATATATATATATATATTATATATATATATATATATATATATATATATATATATATATATATATATATATATATATATATATAGTGTGTGTGTGTGTGTGTGTGTGTGCATATGCGTGTGAGGGTTCGGGTGCGAGTGTGTGTGTTTATATATGTAATAATGTGTATTATAAATATAAATATGCATATGTATGTATCCGTGTATACATATATAGTTTACATATGTGCATATACTTAAATTTAGTAGTAAATAGATACAAATTCACACACACACATATATGCATATATGTTTGTGTGTGTGTGTGTGTGTGTATGTGTGTGTTTATATCTATATATGAGTGTGTGCATGTGTGTATGTGAGAAATACCCCCAAAATACAAAAAGAAAACAAGGATTTAGTTTCTCGCATGACTGCCTTTGGGTATTCAAAGAAAACGGAGTTCAATTTATGCCACACTTAAACAAATCATAGTAAATCAATCTTTAGAAACCAAAGCATGTACAGTTCAAAATAGACTGCGCGCTGTATTCTACAATATATGTATATGTATATATCCATATATATATATATATATATATATATATATATATATATATATATATATATATTAACGCACATATTGTGTGTGTGTGTGTGTGTGTGTGTGTGTGTGTATGTATATATATATATATATATATATATATATATATATATATATATATATATATATATATATAGAGAGAGAGAGAGAGAGAGAGAGAGAGAGAGAGAGAGAGAGAGAGAGAGAAAGAGAGATCTATATTTATGTATATGTGTATGTGTGTGTGTGTGTTTGTGTAAAGTATAGAATACAACGCGTAGTCTATTTTGCACTGTAATACCTTGTCTGCATTTTTTTAACCTTTTGATATTTGAATATTGATTTACCATGATTTATTAAGTGTGGCATAAAATGAATTCCGTTTTCTTTGACCAGCCGAAGGTTGTCATGCGAGAAACTAAATCTGTTTTATTTCGTATTTTAGAGGTCTTTCTCGCCCTATATTATTTCTAAAAGTTAGAAAATGTATTGCAGTATAAAGAACTACGTTAGCGTACAATGTCTTTGTCCTTTAGAGTTTTGTGTAACTTTCTTTTTGTGATGGCCGAGATCTAAATCCCGACAACATTGTGGTTACTCCTGAAATTTTGGTGAATATTAAGGGCACGATAGAATTCAACCACCAGCCTGTACTCTACACAACGGTAGAGACTCTAGGCGTCCCTAGATTGTTAGAATAACCCATTCTCACTGGTATGTTTCGAATAATGATGCATCAAATCTGCTGCTGACATTGTGACCTGTCTGGGATCGTCGGCAATATGTTAATAATTCAAATAAGGCGTGATGTGACATTAAATGTTTTTCTTGAGCTGTAGGTTGTGCAGTGCTTATCGTTGGTAAATGGCCTTTCGAGGATTATATGAGATGAGAGTCATATGTTGATTTGATTTTAATTACTTTGATTATGGCAGTCAGTGTGTTCACTTGGGCTAAGTTTATGCGATCCGGGATAAACTGATCGTTTCGATTTATTACTACATTGTGTAATTGCAGCTGCAGTATCATTACGTTAATATCACATATTGC